ATCTCAACTTCTCTTTAACGTAGTGCTTGAAACTCTTGCAAGAACAATAAGACAAGAGCAGGAAATTAAAGGAGTAATAATTGAAAAGGAGATCAAATTATCCCTTTTTGCAGACAATATATTATATCTAAGAGATCCCAAAAATTCCACTAGAAAACTCCTAGAAATGATTAGCACTTTCAGTAAATTGGAAGGTTACAAAATTAATCTACAAAAGTCTGTAGCCTTTCTATATACCAATAACAAACAATCAGAGAATGAGTACATGGAAACACTTTCTTTCACAGTAGCCTCAAAAAATATCTCAGATATATGATATTCTTAATGCAACTTTGTATTCACTTTGCAAGTATCTTGTTGAGAATTTTTCATCTATGTTATCATGGAAATTGGTCCATAGTTTTCTGTTTTCATTTTGTCTTTATCCAGTTTTGATGAGAGTAATCCTTGCTTTTTAAATGAGTTTCATCGTGCACCTTCCGTTCCTATTTTGCAGAACAGTTGAGACTTATTGGTGTTGTCTTCCTTTAATATCTGGTAGAATTCAGCAATAAATCTGTCCAGTCCTGGCTTTTATTTATGAGTAGAATTTCAATTTCTGCTCCAATTGCACTGCTTATTATGAGTATGTTTAAGTGGTTTATGTTGTTTTATTTAATTTTGGTAGGTGATATGAGTTTAGGAATTTATGTTTCTTCTAAGTTTTTCAGATGTTTGGAATATAAGTTCTCCAAGTATTGTCAAATGATCTAAATTTTACTGGAGCTCGTTTTAACGACTCCCTTTCCATCTTTAAGTTTGTTAATTTGAATCTTCTCTGTCACTCCTTTGAATAATTTAGAGTTTGTCAATCTTCTTACCATTTCAAAGAACTAACTCTTTTACTGATTGTGTGCATTGTTCTTCTAATCTGTCAGTTATTTCCGCCCTAACTTTATAATTTCTTCACATATATTGTTCTCTTTTCTTCTTTTTTTGCATGTGTATGCATGTATGTGTACATGTGTGTGCAGATACACATATGTGTGTGAATGTGTGTGTATGTAAGCTGGAAGGCAGTCTTAGGTGTTACTTCTCAGGTATCATCCACCTTTATAAATTTTAAAATTACATTTATTTATGTGTTCATAATGGGGTGTGCGTGTGTGACAGCTGCATGCAGAAGTCAGAAGACAACTGTGGGAGTTAGTTCTCTCCTTCCACTACGTGAGTGCTAGAGATGGAACTCAGGTTATCAGGCTGGAGGCAACCTCCTTTATCATCTGATCCATCTCACTGACACTCATCCGACTTTTTTAACACAGGATCTCTCATTGATCTGGAGCTGACGAAGTAAGGTAGGTTGGCTGGCCAGAAAAGTCCAAGATCCACCTTTCTATGCCTCCCCAGCTCTGGGATTGCAATCACACACCACCACGCCTAGCCTTTTGTAAATGTGGGAATTTGGATTCAAACGTCAGGTCCTCGTGCTTGCACAGCAAGCATTTTACTGGTTAAACCATCTCTCTAGCACCCTCCCATATACTGTATTTTAACTGGGCTTCTGTTTTCCTAGAACTTTGAAGTGCATCATTGGGTTATTTGAGATCTATCTGCTTTTTATAATGTGAACACTTAGAGTTACAAATTTTCCTCTTAGAATTGACTTGCCTGTTATCCCAGAGCTTCTGGTAGGTCGTCCTATCATATTCATTGGATTCTAAAAATTTGTAAATATCCTTCTTGATTTCATCAGTGACCCGCTGTTCATTCAAAATTATACTGCTTAGTCTCCAAGCATTTGTCTCATTTCTGTGTTTTCTTTTGATGTTTATTTTTAATTTTGTTGTCTGATAGTATACAAGAAATTTCAAGTTTTTTGTATGTTAAGACTTCCTTTGTGACCTATGTGATTGATTTTAGATAAGAGTCACGTGCCACTGAGAATAATGTATATTCTCTAACTTTGGGATGGACAATTCTATAGATATGTTGTCTAATTGATCTATGATATAATTTAATTCTGACAATTTTGTGTTGATTTTCAGTTTGAAATTCCTAACAAAAGATGAGAGTGGGGTATTGAAATATCCCACTATTATTGTAGCCAAACCTATGTGACCTTTTTTATGCCTTTTAGCATTTATTTTATGAAATTGGGAGCCCCAATACTTGGTGCACAAATATTTACAATTGTTAAACTTTCTTGAGGAATTGTTCCCTTTGTTAATATTTTGTGACTTTCTGTATCTCTTCTGACTAGTTTTGATTTGAAATCTACATATCAGATCTGAGATCACCATGTCAGCTGTTTATAATTTCTGTTTGTTTTGGTAGGTTGATTTCCATCATTTGACACTCAGTTTTTGAATGTCTTTGCAAATGGAGTGTGTTTATTTTTTTAATTTTTATTTATTTATTCATTTTTTATGTGTATGAGTATGTTACCTGCAAGCAAGTAAGTACACCATATGAATGCCATTGTATGTATGGAGGGAACATATTTCAACAAAGTTAAGACTATATACAACAAACCCACAACCAACATCATTCTAAATGGAGAAAAACGTGAAGCATTCCCATTAAAATCAGGAGCAATACAAGGCTGTCCACTATCCCTACTCCTTTTCAATATAGAGCTTGAAATTCTTGCTAGAGTAATAAGACCAGAAGGAAATTAAAGGAGTATTAATTGGAAAAGGAGAGGTCAAAATCCCCCTATTTGCAGATATGACAATATACATGAAATCTAAAAAATCCCGTTAGAAAACTTCTATAAATAATCAACATTTTCGACAAAGTTGCAGTTTAAAAAACCAGTTTACAAAAATTAGCACCCTTTCTATATATTAATAATGAGCAATCAGAGAAAGAGTTCATGGAAACACTTCCATTATGTAGGAATAAACCTGACTAAAGACATTAAAGGGCTCTACAATGAAACTTTTAAATCTTTGAAGAAAGAGATTGAGGAAGACACAAGAAGATGGAAAAACCTCTCATGCTCATGGATTAGTAAAATTATTATTGTGAAAATGACCATCATACCAAAAGCAATTTATAGATTCAATGCCAATCAAAATCCCCATGACATTCTTCACATAATTAGAAAAAAAAATCCCCAAATTCATATAGACTCACAAAAGACCCTGGATAGACAAAGCAACCTTGAGCACAAAGAGCAACACTGAGGGGATTACCATAGGAGATCTAAAACTATATTACAGATCTATAGTCATAAAAACAGCATGTTACTGGCAAAAGACAGACACATAGATCAATGGAACATAATTGGGCTATGTATCTCATCAGAGAGCTCTCAAAAGAAGAAATAAAGATGACTAAGGAATGCCTTAAAAATTGTTCAACATCCTTAGCAATTAGAAAAATACAACTTAAAACCACTTTCAATTATCTTCCTACCCCAGTAAGAATGGCTGGTACAACAGCTGTGGATATCAGTTTAGAAAACTCTTTAAAAACTTAAAAATAAATCTGCCATATGATCCAGCTATACTACCCCTTGTCATATACCCAGAGGACTCAATATGCTACTCCAGAGATTCTTACTCAGCCATGTTTACTGCTGCTTTTTTTTCACAATATCTAGGAAATGGAAACAGCCTAAATGTCCCTCAAGTGATAGACTGACAATGAAAATGTGGTACATTTACACAATGAAGTTCTACTCAGTGGTAAAGAATGATGAAATCATGACATTTTTGGGTAAATGGATGGATCTAGAAACTATTACACTAAGTTAAGTAACAGACTCAGAAAAACAAACAACGCATGTTCTGCCATTTGTGGATCCTAGCTCCACATCATCAGATGTGAGTATATATCCTGATTTAACCACAAGAGCCAGGAAAATGGAAAACAACCATGGGGGTAAAAGGGAAGAAGTAGCTTAAGAGAGGGTGCTAGTAGGAGACAGGTGCTATCAAGGGGGAAAAGGGAAAAATGGGGGACACTTTAGCTGGGAGGGAATGGGAAGGGCTATAGGGGAAGAGAAGAAAGATAACTTTTAGGTGGTGTGAAAAACTAGAGGGAAATGTATTACTTCAAAAACCTCCCCAAAAGTTCACACAATATACATATGAGTACATGTGAATAACTGAAGGCTAACAACAAAACACATAATGACAAGCAGGGGAAACCTCTCTCAAAGTTATTGCTCAGGGTTATCTAAGAGACTCTCAAAATAATACAGGTTATTGCCACAGCCCTTGATTGCCTTCCAAATCTTGAAGGTAAGACCCTATTGCTGAAGACAGGACATACCGGAGACATAGGATTTGGACCAATCGAGCAGGAAATGGGCTGGAAGCCTCCTTCCTGAAGAATAGCTCCCATAGTATCAGAAGATACTGTGCAAGCTGCCAAGAGAGAAAACTAATCAATGATCCCATCCAGCTTAAAGTCTATGAGCCACAATAGTGTCCAGCCCAGCAAACAATCTCTTCTGTATCTCTCTTGTATCTTGGGGAAAATCAACAGCTATCTAGTTGAGTTTAAGGCCCACTCAATGGGAGGAAACTCATGTGTGATACTATAAAAACAGCTAACTACACGTGGCTGAAAAGGTCATGCATCCTAGAATAATACTTGATTTCATCACACCCCTAGACCAACGCAATTTCTTACTGTATTCTAAATACTTTTCCTTATATTTGCAGACAAGTGTGCCTCTTACCACTCACTGAAGAAGCTTCTTTTTGCAAAAGATGGAGACTATTACAAAGTTCCACAACTGGTCAAATGCAGAGAATAAGTATCTGTGAAGTGCCCAGTCCTAAGTGACACATCTACAATGCAACCTCTACACTTAAGGCTCATGGAACATAGCAGAACAGAGGGCAGGAAGACTATTAATGCATCTCTTTACTCTCACCAGCAAAGCTTTCTCATGAAACAGATGGCGATTAACCCAGAAAGTCATGACTGGCCAAAGTACAAAGAATAAGAGTCTCCCTAGTTCTTATCCCTAAATAGGACACCTGTATCAGACTTCTACCATCCAAGGCTCGGGGACCATTGTAGAAGAAGGGGCAGAATGATGCTAAGAGCCAGGAGTGGTGAATGACAACAAGGAACAGAACTTTCCAGACATCTGGAAAGTGACTCATATGAGCTCACAGTATACACAAGAGCCATGCAAGCTCAAATGAGACAAAATCCCAGCATTCAAGTGGGAAAATGGGGAAGAAGACCCAATCGTAGCCGAGGAGCTACTGACAACCAGTAACTGCTGGGAGGGGGAGAGTTGGTTTTCTTTAAGAGTGTGTTGACAACTAGGTTAACCAGGTTCTAGCAGGTACACACTGAATGATATTTGGATACACAAACTTGACTCGATAGGCCTTAATATATGTGACAGAGTACATGAAATATAGGGGGTCTAGAAGAGGGGTGTAGATAGGGGAAGGGGTCTAAATATGATCAAAACATACTGCATGAAATTTGCAAACTTTCAATAAAAAAAGAAGAAATCAGATTCTGAAGTTACATAGAGGACTATAAGGTTACAGTTTGCATGAAAAGATGAACTTTTTACTAGGTCCTCTCAAGAATGTTAACATAGTTTCCCTCAGTATCCATAGGGTATTGGCTCAATGACCCTCTCCTCCAATGTCCAACATCTTCAGATGTTCTAGTCCCTTATATAAAAAGGGCACAGTGTGTACATAGAACATAAGCGCATCGTCTCACATTTTCAATCATCTCTAGATTACTGATAGCAGTTAACACAATGGAAACGATTGTTCTATTATTTAAGGAACATGTAAAATACATGTTCTGTACAGATACAACCATTGGAGGCCTACCTACATGGGACATGGGTGAGTTGAGAGGGAAACAATATTCAGTCAATGAGGGCTGGGGAGAGAGAGCAAAGATATGTGAGATGCTGGCAGGCTACAGCAGGGCATGTCTACCCATCAACCTCATCTGCATAGATTCAGTAGAGTGCTAGGCATACAGAAAATTCAAATTTTGTCTTTTGGAATATTCTGGAATTTTTCCCCCAACATTTTTTTTTTTGGTTCTGTTTTGTTTGTTTTATTTAGTCAAGGTCTCTCTATGTAGCCCTGGTGGCCTTGAACTTGCTCTGTAGACCAGTCTGGCCTCAAACTTACAGAGATCTGCCTGCCTCTGCCTCCCAAGTACTGGAATTAAAGGCCACTATGTCTGGCTCCTCAACATTTTTGATCTGTGTTTAGGTGACTATATGGAAGAGGAACTCATGAATGAAGAGGTTCAACTGAATTCACATTGAGTACTAAATAAATTATAATTAATTCTCTATCTTTTGGCCAATTCTAGAAGGCACTAGATGAATTTTGTTTGTTATATTTACTTCCTTGATATGATTTTGATAAAACTAATATAAAATCAGTTCCTATATCCTGGGCCAGATAAACTGTTTAAATTAACTGGATGTGTCATCTTAGTCAGTATTCATTTGCAGCATAGTATTAACCAGTGACTTGGGACTCAGGACACCTGCATGCTGTACACTACACCACATTCCACAGACCTGATCCGAATAGTCAGTTGCCCCTTGATGACATCAGTGATCAAATGACGGTGTTGGAGCTAATGGAATAAAAGTTGTAGAAACCTATGGTCTATGTTTTCTATCCACTCCAACACAGGGAAGGAAATGGCACTGGTTTCAGTGGGTCACCAGAACAGAATTCCATGAGGCCTGGTGGGAACTGGACATAGTGTCAAATCCTGAAGGGAAAATGTATGTGCTTTTAAAATTCCATTGGGGGACTCTGAAAAATCACTGAGCTTGTCTTAGAAAATAGCTCAGTGGTAAA